AGAGGGGAAAGCGCTGATATTAAAAGTGACTCCAGAAAAATGGCTGGATCGGCTTAAAAGTTTAGACGCACTGAGTGACTTTGTGGCTAAATTTATTGACGAAGCTCGTAACAAACAGATGCAATAAGGGTAGAAAGTCCTTAATATTTTCTGTGGGTGACCAAGTTATGCGTAGAACTTATCCCTTATCTAGTGCCACCAACAAACTTTCAGCTAAACTAGCGCCACGGTATGAGGGGCCGTTTACGATAGTTGCATTTAAGTCTCCCGTCGTTTACGTACTTTCTATGGGAACGAGTACTAAAAATACTCATGTTTGTGTTTCAGAACTTGAGCAATGTATCCCCCTAAGATGAGGAGGCACTTTTTGTCAATAATTACACGTGTAGTGACTAAGTTGATGGGTTGTATCTATGTCTCTTTCAGGGGTATGGAGCCAGAATCATCATCACCTGATTTGACTCCCGACTATCCAGAGCATTATGAAGTTAAGCTTTCTGGGTTGGAACAGCCCCCTGAGTCAGAAGTTACGGATGTTTTGCTCCACTCGCAAGATGCCTGAATAGAGCAGATGGATAAAGATCCTTTGCTGATCCAAGTGAGCCAGGAAACCGTTCAGGGTTGTCATGGCCCAATTCTGATGGCTATTAATGGGCTGGAAGAGAAGAACCCGGATCTAAGTCTGCCTTTGACTCTTTGGGACATATCTAAGGTTTCATGCCTTATGCAGGTTTAACTGGACAAAATTCTTAGGACAGATCCTCAGTTAGCCAAAGTAGTTTTAACTAGGGCAAAAGTAAATCCTTTGCGAGAAGGCTGGTCATCTCCTCTTGTCCTTATTAGGCATCTTTGGTTGCGAATCAATCAGGGCAATTGAAATACTGAGTAGGAAACAAGTCCAGGGGACGAATCCTGATCTGCGTTCACGAGTGATCCCACCCCCAGCCCGAGTCACGGTTCTCGTCGTTGAGCCCAAAAACGGGCTGGTGAGTGTGGATTAGATTGGGCTGAGGCAAGCTTGAAGATCGAACGGGAGGAAAGATCGTTGAAAACCGGCTCCTCAGTTAAATGGACATAACCTATGGTAGAGTCAGCCCCCAAAGTATCGCCTCTCGTTTCCCGGCGTGGAGAGGAAGTGTGGGTCGAGGGTGACGCTGACGGGCACTACCACATCAACTGCGTCACTAATGAAGTCAATGGAATGAGGTGGTGGAATAGATTCCGGAAAATTTTGAGTGGGGCCAACTCCATAGCAAATGGCGAGAAGTGTTGTCCGAATCCCCCACCAAGGGAGGGAACGGAGGAGCAGGATTTGAGTGCAGTCCATCTCAAACTTCTGATTCACCTGCGCAGTGTGATATTCGGAGGACTCAAGGTAATTGCCACGGATCTATCGGTAGATCCACTGGAACCACCTGGCGTAGGCCTCAACTGCTGGGCGCTAGGGCGTGGTTGTGTGTTATATCAGGCTCTGGTAAAAGCCATGTTCTGCCACAACTGTGGACGACGTGGCGTTGATCTCTACAACTGTAAATTGGAAGAACTTGTGGAGGTGGTACGGAAGGCAGAGGTCTAAAATCTACGGTCGTTAGGTATCTCGTTGGTTTGACACTGAACCCCATGTATCAGCCCAAGCCATGGCACAAAGAAGGAAGCTTCTTTATCTTCTCAGGGTGACCAAAGATCTCCCATCGAATTTGCGATACCAGATATTGAGGATACTGCTCTCAAGGGACTATTAGGGAACCGTGAGGAGGGATAATAGTTGTTTTTGTTAATTTTTTTTTTTTTTTTTTTTGTATAAATTTGCAAGATTTTGAAAAAAATGAAGAACGTGTTTATAAGTAATCTTCACAATTTGTGAATAAATATGGGTGTTATAATTGTTTCAGTACACTGTACCTTCCTCTGTACACTGTACCTCTACTGGAATTATTAAAAAAGTACAATATAAAATCGCAATTCAAAATGTTTACCCAATAATAAACGAAGATAAAAATTTATTTTATGTTTGTACATTTTTGGGTAAAATATCTGATTTTTTGAAAAATAAGTTGAGGTTGTATGGACTAAATATTTTATTCAAAACGTAGAAAAGTCTACAAGCATTAGTAAAAAATAATAAATGTAACGCAGCACTCTCTAAAAATTCGGGGGTATATAGCTTACAATGTGGGTCATGTGGCAAAGAGTACATGGGACAAACTGGTGGAACTTTTGCTAAACATTTAAAAGAACATGTTAAAGCCTTCGTTAATGGTTCAGAAAAGTCAAATTATGCATCTCATCTGTTGAAATGTAATTACGATTTTAATTATGAATTTAAAGTTTTACATATAGCTAATAAGGGCAAATTGTTGAACTCTTTAGAAGTGGCTGAGATTAATAGTTTGAGGAACACTAAACTTTTGCTTAACTGTCTGCTAGATATAAATGACTCACCTCTATTAAATTTGAAATAAAAGTATGTTCGTTTATAGTATGAACAAGTTGACGATATGCTGATATGTAATAGCTAAAGTTTTTTTTTTTTTTGTTGGATACTGGCTAAAAGGACTTTAATTAAGGAGAGATCATTTGTTGTTTAAGATTGCGACGAAGTTTAAAGAGAAAGAGTTCTGCAAGTTTTTGTGTGGCTCACGATTTTGGCTGTTTCCTGTGGTCTGGTTGACTGGGAAAAGGGTTGTTGGATCTTGGCTGGCTGGATGCGATTGGGTGGCTTTAAGGGTTGAAGAATACCGGGGCCAGAGCCGACATCGAGCAAGAGAACTCCCAAGAGACTGGAAGATTGTAAGTACCAGGGTAACGGTATGTATGTATAGGGAGTGATGGTAGTGTGCGCAAGGCGCGTGGAACAGTGAGGGCAACCTTTATGGGTTCCTCACTTCGGGTCAGTGGCTATTGGGACCAAAAAACAAGTGGCTACTCTACACCTAATGAGGGGAAACTCAGGTCACGAGGTGCTCGTCGAGCCCTTCTCGAGCATAGTGGATAATGGCTCCAGGTTCGCAGTGAGTGACTCCTGAGGTCGCGAGTAGTGGCTTCTGGGGGGCACTGTAGTGGTTCGTTGGAGGAACTTTAGTAGCTCGTCAAAAGTGAGCCAGTGGCAGTCATTTGTTATTAGTGGCAAAATTTACAGCTGTGCAGGGTACTTTAAGCTACGGCACCAGGGCCCAGTGGTCGTTCCAGAGAGTCCGGAACTGAACGGCTGTATACCCGTAGCATTGTACTTGGGGTAGCTGTGTACGTGTGCCAAGCCAGCCAGGTGCAACGTTTCAGTGTTTAAAGAATTTAGCTTATGATGCTCGACACTATTGCAATATACTTAATCTGTTGTGCATGTACCAAGAGACATTAGAAACAAAAATCAATCTATGAGAAGTACTAACAAGTGAGAAAACTATAGGCCAGTGACTCGAAGTTTTACTATTGAATACACCTACTATGCTTACTCAATATTGTTAGTACGATGGCCTTACACAGGGACTATAGGAAACAATTGTGCTTTTAAAATGAAGCTTGGGAGTGGGTAGCCCTTATCTGAGTGTGTGGGCATAAACCCAAGAAATTTGTGACATGGCAAAGCGTCCCTTGTTAGTGTGGTCTGAAAGATAATTTGTAACAATGACCATCTCTTAGTGAATGCAAATAGTAAAACTAAAATTTCGAAATCACCTTAAAAAATTTAACATAAAATTGAGTTGCGTTGTTGCTGTTGATTAACATCGTCACTGACTTAAAACGTATGGTGCTATTACTTCAGTATGAACCTTGAATGTATCATAACAAACAAAATTGTAAAGTCAATATGTAGACTATGAGCGTCCTTGTTTTAAATACTTAATGTGAACATTAACTAGTAAGAAGATAATTTACCACGTCAGTGTTTATGTTCAATGCTCTCGTTACACTACTCCAAAAGCTCATAAAAATACTTCGTCTTAAGAAAAAACTGTTTTCTTTTTATTTCTGACATACGTTATCGAGGGTCTTAGTAAACTCTTGACCTCATAATTTTCTGCATACATCATACGTAAAAGATATGAAAAATCTGTCGTTACAGCTGAAGAGACTTAGGTGCACTACATAGTCACAGTCAATAGTCTCAAATTACACTGAGGATCATACAACAGTGAAAAGGGCCTGCTAAAAGTATTTCTGGTAACACCAATGACCAGAAACCGCAATATGAAGTAAGATTTGAATAGGTAGCGCGATATCAGAAAAGACTGCACGAAGCATCAGAGACATTGAAGCAGCTGTACTAAGCAATGATAACTCTGAGTTACTTATTAATAATATTTGAAAATATGTGGTGTTCTAAAGTGATAGAAATTATAGTAATAGACACAACCTAGTAAGACTGAACTACGCTTATTACAGGTTTAGTTTAAATAAATTTTTTTGTGTTACTAAGTACCTCTGGTCTGCTACTTTAATTATGTAAGCAGTAACGTTCATTCTACAAACAGTGTACGTGCATACAAATAATTATTATGAACCTTCATACGACTAAAATCTTGGCATAAAAATAAAAATGTTAATATACAACGAAAAATATGATAAAAAGTAAATTACATTAGGAATTGGCCCATTATTTAAATCTTTTCACATTTTTTATCATAGTATTAGACATAACTTTGTCAAACTTTTAATTAGTTAGAAATAGTTTTACTAACCCGGTATTTCGTCATAAGAGAAAAGGAAAATTGCTCCGCCTCCTGGGGTATCAATGGAAAAAAGACTTATCACTCTTTTTCTTAACAACTGTGTCTACGGATCTGAAATGTATTAAAAAGTTTAATTCATTAAATTTGTCATGTTATTATCACACCTATGTAAAAAAATTTTAAAACCTTATTTTTTTATGAATAAATATACTTTATAAAATCATTTTCTAAAACTAGTTTGAAATAAATACTAAAAATAATTGGCATGCACTTAATGATGAATACATACTGAGTATTTTCAAATCTAACGAAGACTTATTCATTTTTAAGGCTGTTCAACGCAACATACTCTTTTGGGAAAAACACGGCGACCTCGGACAGCTTTTACGTCTCAGCAACTTCTAGAATTAGAAAAACAATTCCGTCAGAATAAATATCTAAGTCGACCTAAAAGATTTGAAGTTGCCACATCATTAATGTTGACAGAAACTCAGGTACAATAAATATCTTTTCGGTATGGCATTACAATATTTTTAAAATCTTAATACAACTTACAAGTTATTTAACCCAATGTTATATAAACTTGGATTTTTCATTTAAAATACTTTGGACTTGTCAAAACTCACTTTTTCTGTAATGTACAAAAGAAATCATTCATTTATTATTACAGTTACTATTCTTATGAACGTAAATTCAATTTTACTTTTTAACCTACAATTTGTCTGAAAGTTATAACGATCTTATTGAACATACTTTATCAATAGATGCAAAACAACGAAGAAGCAATGAAACATATAGATAATAATGGCAGAACATCAACTAGACAATTATCAAAAAAAAATTTAATTCATCGAAACACATGCATGTCCATCTGCTACGTTCGCACCAATCTCAGCACTGCAGGTGGCCAAGAGACGAAACGCTATAGGCAGGATAAACACAACTGATCGCTGTGTAAAATGCATTGTGATAGTAGTATTTTTATTATTTGCATCACAAGTAATTAATATTGCGCACTATTGGATCAAGAAAATTCTTATCTAGGATTAGATGAAATTGTGAAATATATTGGCGATGGTGTTAGGCCGTATAAAGAAGGTCAGCAAGTGTTTAAAGCATGGCATATTATTTACTGTGGTATTAGTAAAGAAGCTCCTGATAGTGTGATTAAGATTTTGACGTTGTGCTTACAAACATCTGCACTTCACGATACTTACTCCATACGAATAACAAATTAAAGTAAAGAAATGCGTGGTCATTTTGTGTAAGTGTTCATGCACTCTAGGGAAATGCAAGCACTGTGTGGCTGTGTTAATTCATCTTGACAAGTAAATGTAAATAAATATATTTATTTAAATTATATTTCATTAATACAATTAGGGTAATGAATTTTTTTCTTGTACCTAGAGCTCCATCTAATATGTTGGAAAAATTATCGTGTACTGACACCAAGCAACAGTGAGGATAGCTCAAAAACATCACAAAACAAATGTACAAAGCTATGCCTTTAGGGCCGTTTCGGAGCTTTTTAACTGATAACGCAGTAAATTATATCGGTGCCTCGGACGAAAACAAGTCCAGTTCAGATTTTTTAATGTTATTTTGGATAGGAAAATCTGAACTGCGCTTGTTTTCGTCCGAAGCTTCGATAAGCCCTGCTTTATACACTCGCTGACCTTCTTCATACGGCCTAACACCATCGCCAATATATTTAACTATTTCATCGAATCCTACATAACAACTTTCTTGATCCAGTAGTGCACAATTTTAATTACTTGTGATGCAAATAATAAAAATACTACTATCACAATGCATTCTACACAGCGATTAGTTGTATTTATCTTACCTATAGCGTTTCGTCTCTTGGCCACCTGCAGTGCTGAGGTTGGTAAGAATGTAGCGGATAAATAAATGTAAATGATATGAAGATGTACTTGCTAGGCTGAATCCCTTTTAATAATTTTAAAAATTCGATCCCTTCTAATAATTTTAAAAATTCGATCTGTCTTTATTACTCTTTTTTTTTTTTTGGTCGAGCTGACGTTTGATTGATTAAATTTTTTCAATCTTTTACTCGAAAGAGTTGATCAGGGTTCCTCTTACGGATACGTCATGCATATCAATGATAAATTTTTGTGTCCATTTGCTCCTCACCATACCACAAACGGCTCATATTTTCGCGAAACAAGAGTATATGCTTTTTGGTAAATTTTTCCCGCAAATACACGNGGGTTTTCTCCCACAGCCTATAATTTTTGACGTTTTTAAGATCATTAAAAAGTTTGGCATTACCGTAATAAAAACAACTGTAATAATATTTATCACTACATGAGTGGTATTGGCGTAGTAACATGATTTGTACTGATACAACATCATTCTATGGGTTGTAGGTTCCATTCCTGATCAAAGGAGCTAGCTAATATGAGCACAGACTACTTTGGTCTAGGTTTTGCCGTGCAATTTTTCTTCAGTGTGGTTCTAGGATTTTTTCTTTGACCCACAGATCTTTGGACTTGAGTAAATGCAAGGCAGTGTCAAGGCAGGGTAGGAATTCGTGGATTCAATGCCAAGAACCAAGTAGTGTGCAACGTCCATATCAAGGGAGAATGGTTCCTGAGACATGGAGTTTCTTCAGGAATGCTGATTCACCTGGATCCAATACTTTGGCAAAGAGCGCCATCTTAATTGGCAAGAAATTGACACCAGACAAATGGAATCTTCTTTAGATAAAGGATTCACAGTGATGAGTGGATCCAATGCCATTGATCTAGAGAGTACCAGCTGAAGTGCTGGGACGAGTCTTAACGCATCAACACTCACTGTGCCCACAGTATAATAGGTATGATACCAGTAAGGTAACTGGTAAATAGATGCAGCAACACATCCCCACATGCAGGTGGTAAGTGGGTGGCTCCAGTGACCCAGTATACTGAGACTGCGGAAAAAATGAAATTAAAAGAAAAACTACAATTATTACTAGTTTTTTAAGTAAAACTTCTTATGTTGGGCCGTGAACAGCGTGAGGGGAAATGCGTTACGAAAAAACTTAGCCACCCACCCAGCGGCCCAAGCCCTCTCCTCAATCTTCTCTTTTATACACTTCCTCCCACTCCGTCTCACTCATTCGCAGCGCGTGACACTCTACTGTCTACCATTCCGTCTCTCTTTCTCGCGCATGTATGCCACTCACTCCCTTCTTCTCACGCTGCTACTGTACTTACATGTATACACATATTATAGCTATGTTATAGTATAAATGTTTCTAAGTTAAGACTAAGCCGATGCGCTTGCTCAATCTGAGGTAGAGGTATAAAGTAAAGAGAAAAGAAGAGAAAAACATATGTATCTATACTAGACGCAAAGTATACTATACGTACATATTTCGTATACATATATACGTGGTGCACGTTCCGGTCATTACATACATGTTCATATGTATACATGTATGTGAGAAAACGTGCATAAAGTAATAAAAATGTATAATACGACAATCTTACCTTTACAAACAAGAAAATAGCTATATGTTAATAGTATTCCATGATCTAAATTAGATAGTGTGGATCATTTTAGTTTTATGGTCGCCAAAATTGAAAAACAAATTTTATTTGTCAGATACAATGATTTGAACGAAAATTGATTGTACATATATCAAATGCAAGAATAAAAATTTTAGATAAAAAGAATTTTTGTCTCGCGTAAGTGGACAAAAGTACCTTTTTTTCGGAGTGTTATGGGGACAATTTTTGTTTCATTTTGTAATACATGATCAACAATTCGTACATATATTAATACATACATCATAGCAAACATAGAAGTACTTAAAATTACATGTAACACAAGTATAATATGTTGTGCACGCGCGTGCTCGAAAACATAATAATAAAATTCTTACTTTTTCAATACCGGATTCTGAAAGACCGATTGAAAATAGGTAAGATCTAATTTTCTCAGTTTCTGTTATACCAAGTTTAATGATATTTGAGTTGGAAGTTTCACTTCTGCCGGGGGTCCCGAGACCCACATCTGATAATTTTTTTTGTAAGCATTGCTCAATTTTTGTGTTTTAATACAAATTTGAATCCTGATTTAATAAATATTTTCACAAAGTTTCTACTGTCACATAAGTAAAGATAAATCGAAAAATTCTGGTATGAGTCTGGAAAGACAATAATATATTGTTAGTAATCTTGAGATTGATGTACAAAAATATTTTGCGTTTGCTTATTACGAATATAAATTTTGAATTAAAAAGTTAAAAATGGCTCATCTCACATGGTAGACCTGATTTTGAAAATTATTATATACTTTGGGACACACTTTTTAGATGTTAGTACGCCTATGTCAAAACTATAACATGTTGCTTGTGGTATTACATTCAAATAATGTATAAGTTTCTTATCCAAGCCAAAATGACAGCATATGATAATGTTATCAGCCTTGTAGCAGTGTAGCTTACAACAGCAATACACGAATTGTTACAAAATCATAAATTAAAATTAGCTTTGTCACGATGGGTAGCTTTCATTCATATACATTGTTACATATATTTATTCACCTTCTTTAACAATTCTTTTCGAAACTGCCAATTTCCTTAGTCTTTTAGATTAAAAATCACGAGCCCTCTCTTTCACAAAATTTTTGCTGAAAACGCTATAATTCTGTCAGACGCTATTATAAGTCACTTTCTTATAGTACATTACGACATTTTATTTTATCGGAACTAATAATATTCTTATGGATTCTAACAAAATCATACCCACGTCTGCTTTTCCATACTCTAAACAAATCACTTTTGTCTGAATTTCTTTGATTTAAGCCCACTTTAATTTTACTATCAGAATATATTTGCAAATACTGAGTTGTGAAGTAAGTTTGTGGAAAAAAGGTATAGTAATTATCTGATTATGCTCTATTTCTTTTAGAAAATACTGAAAATTCAAAGCCAAACATAGTAAAAAAAAATAGTATTTATAATCGTGATTAATGTGAAAACTATTGTTCAGTTTAAACGTTATATTTATTGCGCTACATTTACATCGACATTTTCTCTCTTACGATAGTAATGCTTTTCTTATCTCTACAGTGTCTTTACGAGCAAGATCAAAACAAAGACTTTTGGCTGTATTAAGTTTATATTAATTTTTTCTTAACATCTAGCTATTTTCACTCTATTATTTTAAAATATAGACCCAAAATGCTTGATACTTTAAAATTTAGCTGTTCTGCGCAACAGTCAGTCAGCTCACGCTGTCTGTTGCGAACGCTCTTCTCACAGTGATCGATTATAATCATTTTTTGTTAGTAAATTTGTACATTGGTAATAAGGCAATGTGTTAATGTATTAACCCAGTGATCCTGATACCTACTCACAACAATTACCAGCCCAGTATAAATTCCTAATGCAAACAACTATTTCAATGTTTAGGTAAAAGTCAAACTTATATCAACCAGATGTGGAAAGAAAAAATAAGGTAAGGATGGCTTTTCTCGTCTGTATGCCAGGCGTTTTTTTCTTATATATTTAGATACAAAAGCTTCAAAATCTTCCATACCAACCAAGGTACAAAATTAGATTAAACCGAAACTTCAATTTTATAATAAAATTTGAAAAAAATTATAATAGTTTTATGGTGACAAATTTACCATAAGAAGTGCGGTAAAGAAATGCACGTATTCACTCTGTAATAGAAGAGTATTCTTGCTTTTATTGACCAAGTATATATAGGATGAGAAATTTATCACAAGATCGGAATCCAAAAAAATTTAAACAGCTAGTTTAGTTCTAAAATTAGTTTGGATGCATTAAGATTTCAGGCGTTAACTCTGATTTATTAATAAATGAACAAAAAATTTGTACAAAAAGAAGTATAACAGACTTTATTTTTGATATCATATAGTAAGATTTAACCGATATATAAACTAATAACCTTAAAAGTTATTTAAAAAGAGGAGCTAACATTCTGTATTTTACATTCTACTTTCATAAACATAAGGTTTTCAAAAAACAAAGTATTCCTAATTATTCTGCTGGTTAAAAAGGTAATTATGAAATATTAAAAACATACATTTTAGACTTTTCAATCAACAAGGAAACTCCTGATTTGCATCTTATGTATGTAAGTTTACACTAAATAACATATCAAAATATTAAAAGTAATTGTAACATCTAACTTTTAAGTCTAAAACAATATAAATTTAGGCAAATCAATATATCTATAATATATCTCTTGAAAATTGTATATAAAAGGTATAGTTTCTTATTGTAACTCTGGAAAAATAGTCATATGTTACAGTCTTATTGAAGAGAGAACTAAGATGTATTTCTCAGGACAATTGAGACAATTTATACTTCATAAAATTTTTCCCATTATTCAGGGAAATAACGACTTATAAGTCGTTGATAGATAATATTTTTATAGATGATAGAAGAATTTATAGGTGATAGAAGAATTACTGACGATTAACTAGTGTAGAGCTCTCATAAGAAAACTGATTTTTTTTTCTTTTTTTTTAACGTTTGTATCGAATGAACTTAACATTTTTTAATATTCATACGAAACTGGATACACTTCAATACTCATCTTTTTTTCAACATACAACTTTTTTTTGAGGAAACTTTATGATATTTGTAGAAGGTAGAGTGTGAAAAGGAGAGCACAAGAAGTAAAAAAATAAGACAAAGTTAATTAATAGCTTTTAAGATTTTTTTGTTAAGAACAAACAATTGTGGTTATACACACCTAACTACTCGCTCAACGCTCTGGGCCAACTAATTCGCTGCTAACTCTCCACCATCACAGTTTGCCCCTCACTCTGTCTCTTTCTCTTTGCACTTTTCCCACACCGTCTCGCACACACACACACACACACACACACACACACACACACACACACACACACACACACAAAAGCACAACGCACTTCAAGCAGCCTCACGACCTGTCGACTTTCGATAGTCGGAAAGACGAGTGGAGCGTCGGTTTGCCTAGCAAGTTATTTATCTTGCAAACTGGGAGAATTCAAAAAAATACGGTTAAGATGATTGTAACCTGAACGGCCCCAGGTAACTTTACCTATGCACGCTGTGTGACCTTCATAACAACAGGACATTGTGCCCTTCGAGGTCCATAATGACAATTTTTGGCCTGAAGGCCACAATTTTTCGTGCCTCAATTACCCCGATGGATTCAACCACGACTGTCAAGTACTACACTAACGTATCTCAACGTATTTCATGGTCACTCCAACGCTTCCGTTCGTCAACCAAACTATTTACAGTTGAGTTTTCCTGTTTTGTTTATGACTATTATATATGTTCGAGGCGTATGCGTTAGCACATAGCTAGAGTTAGCACTAGGCTCGGATAGGGTGATTGGGAAGTCACAATAAAACACAATAAAATTAAACAACATAAAAATAACAACTTTTAATGTCACTCAAAGGCCTCAATGTCACTCGAAGAATGTAGAAAGAAAAGAGTCAAGTTGAATAACACAATATGTAAACACGCACCGACCTTGAGCTCGCAAGAGA